GGGGGGGATGGGGCTTTACACAAATACACAGAAACCACTAAATTCGATCTGGCAAGTCTAATGAAAGGAGGAGGTCTGCGGTATCACCGCAATGCTAAGCGAGCCCACACTGCTCTTTGCTCTACCACAGTTATGAAGTGAGGATAATCAGTACCACATTTCTACTGAAGCTCACTGGAGCCGCAGAGTACCAGATGAACATCCATGTACCATTCAACCAATGCATCAACAGATCATGACACCATTCAGTTCACAGTGTGCTACAAACCTCTACACATCACATGTGAGAAAAGATAAATACACACAAATTAGACCTATCTGATGGACCTAATACAAATATATATATATATATATTCTGACACCATAACTGGAAGGTGAATGTTGCATAATTGTTCGTGCTGAAATGGCAAATTGTGTTCCAAGCCTCTTTATCAATGCTCAATACAATCTTTCAGCTTTCAAAATGTCATGATTACAAAAATATATATATCTTGTTGAGAGAGGCACATCACTTGAAATTCAGAAATGTAGACCCATGTTCTGTAGTTTTACTTGTGTTTTTGCTAGGGTTTGTTCAGAATGGCATTTGAGGTGTGACAGAATTCAATTAGCTTTCTCTGATATGCCAAAGTCTAAGAAAGCAAGACTTGCTGGTTCCTGCATTTTTCACATGTTCTTTTCTCATATTGCTAAGGTGTCTTTTGAAAAGAACGTAAGATGATCATGCTAAGTACACTTTAATTTTATGTCACATATTAACAGGTTAGATTTTTTTTTTGTTTATTTAGATCAGTGGTTCTCAAGTGGTTATGCTTCATGACCCAGAGTTTATTTTGGACACCCAACGTGGTACCAAAATTGTGTATCATACAAAATTTAATTGGTTTCATGCTCTCAGCAGCCAATAATTCTCAAAACACTGTGGTTTCGACAAACCATGTCTTCACTGCAACCCGTATTGAATGTCTCTGGGAGGTTTTTTCTCAACACATCCATGTTGGCATCTGCTTGATTTGTTGAGCTTCTAACAAGTGTCAGATGTCATCAACAAAAGCATTTTCTCCTCACTTGTAAAGAGCCATAGATCCATATCTGGAACGGAGGAAAGCCATTTCTGGACAAGACAACCTTTTAAGAGAACTGTAATGTAACGGAAAACTATACGAGCGGTGCTCTGTGAAAATCTCTCACGCTGGTTTGCATGCTAATAGAAAACCATTTCTTCAAAATTCATCACTCCTATAGATTGCAGTGATGATGTATTTTTGTAGGCCAATGAGTTAGAATTTTAGCACTTCCCGTTCCATCATCCTGAAGTCAGTGGGTTGTTTTCAATTGGTTTTTGGTTAAATGCCTGAAGTAAGATCTCAAAAAGAAAAAGGCAGTTGGTAACAAGTGGCTAAATGGGACTATAGAAGTTGTCGGGGACATTAAACATCATCACGTCAAACAGGGAAACTCATCTATATCCGCTTTCACAGCCTCGTGTTTACAATCATGCTCTTGCAAACTAACTCAAACTTTTAGGGAAAATTAAAGAGTTGTCAGAAGCTCAGTGGTGGTGACGCTGTAGTCATGCGACTGACTGGTGTAGTGCGTTTATAGACTACATTTGGCTTTTTACCTCATGTGATTGTATTTAGGCTTCAACATGTAGAAAATCCCGATGAACAAAACGTGCAAGCATCGTAAACTTTTGTTGGTCAAAGAGCTTATTTTCTGCAATAATTCAAAAGCCAAGAGAAAAATGCCATGTGGACTTTGTTGAGGGACCCAGGCCTACATCAATACAGCACTCTACTGGTTCTTCAGTGCACGCGAGCCATTAAAGGCAATCAGAGGCTCGTGATTTTGCCCTACGACAGTAATCATCCTTTTCAATCCCAGAAATTGGTTTCAGAAGGGAATTTGTGGACAAAGTCATACAGTGTGCACTGGGCACACAATGACATAAAAGTGATGCTATTGTGAAATACTCCAAGGTTTGAAAGTAAAATGTTCTTCATAATTACAGACCAATAGATCTAAATTGTTTAAATTCTCATTCCTATGTATTTGTAACATCATTACATAGGGTGTTATTTTTAAGTTTGAAAGTTAAGCCTTTTTTTATTTTGCTATCTCAACTAGAGGTGGAACATTTCCGGTAAAATTCCAAACATCCCTGGAATATTTCAAAAAATCCTGGAAAGTTTCTGAAATTTACTATAAATTTTCCTTCTTTTTGCAACCCTAATCTCAACTACTCACTATTATATGGTTAGTGCATTTTATTGCTTGCATTTCACATTGTATATTCATTTAAGTCCATGGCCCTTGCAGAATATTTTTGACTTGTGGAACATTTTTAACCTTCCAGTTGAGAATCACGGATTAGACTACTAACAATATATGCAAAACACAAGTATGCCAAGCAGAACATAACAGTCTCCAATGTTACAGCAAAGACACAGAAAACCCTTCTGTAGAGTTGAGAATGGGGACATTTAAAACAAAACCATGAACGGTAGACCTGTAATAAACAGCAGGTGGCTATCAGGAAATGACATGATAATTCCACCACATAACTACAACACAACTGCGACACAACAAACATGATGCAGGTGATTGTTACTTGCCAAACAGAATTCTTACTAAACAATCTACGTTTTTTGCTCCATTCAAAACACTAGTGAGCTGCCAAACGGTCTGTTGCAAGTCACACAAATAGCATTAAATCCGATTCCAACTGATTCCAATTAGACTTTGCTATTAGCATGTTGCTAAGCTAACAGCTCAATACTCAAGCAAAATGGCATATACCACTATTGAGAAATGTGTTTCTATTTTATCCGTGCTTTTTAGTATAGCATAAAACTAAAGCATTTTCTCAAATGCCTATAGGATTGTTTTTTTACCCACTGAGTTTGTTGCAGTGCATTATGGGAATGCAATCTCTGCAAAGGAGGCAGACCTTCCATAATTTGATTTTGCTGAACAGCCTTTGTTTTGTGAGCACAATTTTGGTGCCTTAAAATGCCATCTTTTGTAGGCAGCTCACTAGGTTTTTGGAACATAGCATACTATAAAATATCCAAACATTTGTCATTGTTTGTATGGGGAAAAAATGACAAAGATTGATTGAATGAAATCTTCTTCGTGTTTATCAAAATGTTTGACGCTCCCAAAATGTACGTCCATGAAATATAGATAGCCATTTTCCTTTTTTAAAAGTTCTGTATTTAAAAAAAAAACTACATGTATACCATTTTCAAGTCATGAAAACCTACAAAACAACATCTTTGGCGTAAGAAAAATAGCTAGTAAAAATCTACAGGATATGAACGTTATCTACAGAACATTACACAAGAGTTGATCATGTAACTGATCAATATCGGGAAAAAAGGTTGATACGACGTATCTAAAACAATTTCATCTGGAATATTCCAAATATCTAAAGTGCTTCTGCATTAGTCCCTAATTCATACACAAGTGTGGGATTGTAAGTATAAGGCAGATTAATTCTATCCACTACAGATAGAAAACCATGCACACACTCAAAGGGATGGGTGAGAGGGATGATACTATAACTATAAAGAACAACGAAGATTCCCTTTAAGACATGGTTATTTTACTTGTCAAAACATCAGACGACCAGTAGTCTGAAAAACTGACGGTTAATAAAGAAATATGTGAAGGTTGAGTTCTTTCAAAGACTATTTTAGCAGCTATAATTTCTCAGACAAACTCTGGTGTCTGGACTTTCACAGCCTGTTTAGGAATGGGATAAGAGGTGATTGCAATCTTTTCTTACTGTGCGGACTGGCGATTGAGGTTTCGAAACGATCTTAAAAACTGATAGAAGACAGAGCACACAGAGAAAAGAGCTAGATTTTTCCAATGATAGCAACTCACGGATACACCACTGGACTCCTGACTGGCCAAATTCTTCTAAGTACACTGTAACTCCAGACAGGCTCGGTCACATGTGGAACGGCAGCACTTCTCTGAGCATAATCAGAGCGCTGTTGTGCTCCTCTATGTCGACAAACACAGCGCCCTCTGCTTGTGTGGCTGTGTCAGTACCACCTGGTCCTGCAGTCACAATGTTACGCTGTCTTTCCAACTATAGGATTCTCCCTATAAATTAAAGTAAAAAGAATGTCAAACAATTTTGCTGCACATATACCCACACACACAAGACAAAATTTTGTCTAATAGCTTTTTGGGGGGGGGGATTTTGATTTAGTACTTTTTAACGAAAAATGTTTGCTGAAAATGTACTTTTAAATGTATTTGCCAGCCAAGATGTAGATGAGTTTGTTTCTTGCAACAGCATTTTAGTGGCACATCAAAATATATAAATCTAATATTTCAAGATTAAAGTCATAATATTTTGAGAATAAAATTTCCACCTATTCCACAAAAAACATCTGTACCTCAAACCTTATGTCAAAACAGTAATAAAATGTTGAAATAGACTCCAACTTGGTTAACTGACTGATTTATGAGAATAATAATAAAAAAAAATGTTGGCAAAGTGATACCGTTGTTCCTTTTGTGCGCATTTTAAATTCATCCAGGCTCCCTTTTATCTGTCCTAGAAGAAAGCCACTGAGGCCCGGTGGCCAACCCACATAATATGGCCAAATAAAAGAGAACAACCTTAATAATTTACTTTTATTTTGCAACCTTTTCTTCTTGATATCCAGAGCTGTTCTTGCCAGCACTGCAGTATTGAGCAGCATTGCTGTCATCGATATTACTTTGAGGATCAAAGAGCACCGCTTGATTGGTGAATGTCCCTGAAGCGTAGCTAAATATAAGTAAATATTTTATCCAAAGCGACTTACAAATGAGGACACCAGAAGCAATCAAAGTCAACAAAAGAGCAATAATATGTAAATTTAGGAAATGTCAATGACATTTCAGCACTTCATGAACAGACAGCAACTTAAGTACCACTTTAAGAGCGTTTGCGTTTTAATTTTAAACCATCGCATCTGGCCAAAATAGTATAGAGTCCATAATCCATAATATTGCTTCCTCTAGTGAAAAAGTCTATCCCCTGTTGTGCTCACACATCACTTTATATTAGGTGGCCACAACTACTACATTAAAAAAAGAAGTACAATGTTGTTTTCATATTGCAATACTGCTGCTATTGAGGTGGGATACGGGTAAGGTTAGCGACAGGTTTGGTGGTATGGGTAGGTTTAAGGGTGGGTTAAGATGTAAGTCAACAGTGTAATTATAAATGTAATTATGTAATTACATGAAGGTATTTTTAAATATAAGTACAATGTAAAAACATGTATGTATGTACACAATAAGTGCATTGTATCAGATGACTAATTTAAATGTAAGTACATATTAATGCCACCTAATATAAAGTGGGACCAAAAATGTTTTGACTGTTTTTACTTGTAAATGGTGCTTTATCTGAACATATTCTCTCCTGATTTAGACAAGAAGACTTTTTCACTGGAGAAAGCAATACTATGGATAGAGGACTCTTAGCCAGAAGCAATGGTGATGGATTTATTTATTACAAACATGCAGCTTTTCCCTTCACAAGACATTAATTGATGGACTGGAGTCATGTGGATTACTGGTGGATCATTGTGTTGTTTTTATCAGGTGTTTGGACTCTCGTTCTGACGGCACCCATTCACTGCAAAGGATCCAATGGTGAGCAAGTGATATAATGCAAATGTTCTCAAAATCTGTTCCAATGAAGAAACATCTACTCATCTACTGTACATGGCCTGAGGGTGAGTACATTTTCAGCAAATGTTTGTTTTGGGTGAACTATTCTTTTAATAAAATAATTAAAAATAATATATAAAATTAATGATTTAAAAAAAAAATCTATATTACAATTCACATTTTGCACTTTGCAAATGTGATGTCTTAATTCATGCCAATTTTAACAGATTTTGGGTGTCTTACATAGTGCCTGGTTCATCAGTTAGTGCTCCCTTTGAGTCGTGTTGAGCCTGCAGATCGTCCAGTACTTCTCCGAGCTCTTTAATAGTACGGAAGGTCTCTTTAGGGTCCTGTATGGTGAAGGCTGAACACTCCTCCTGCTGCCCAAGATACACTGACATACCGGCACAGGCATCTGTAGACACAGACAAATGAAACCAACTTTATTGCTATGTAAAAAAATTAGAAACTGGTAGTAATAAAAATGACTGTGTTCAATAATACAAAAGTGAGTTCAAACATTTCACTGTTTCTGAGTGAAACTGAAAATTGAGCAGGAAATATCCTGGATCAACTGAAATGATTTGACATTAGCTGCTATTTCATAAGTCATTGTTACATCAATAGACAAGAAACTATTTTTTCAGTAGTGGAGAAAGTACATTTTGATAAAATATTATGAAAACATACACTGATGAATCATGCACAAACAGACAAAATGTGTATTAAGAAAGTAAATGGGGCCAGTTTTGATTTGAGTCTGTTTTTAGGCTATACACACCCTCCATCTTCTGTAGTCTGGAGCGGTTGGAGGAGAAGAAGGAGAAGATTCGTTCTGTTTCTCTGTCACAGTCGATGTCCAGTTGAATATTAGCCAACACTGTCCTATAAGACAGAATCAGACATCAAAAACAAGAACGTGAACACATTTGATAAAGCGATCAAATGTGAATGTATTAATAAGATATCTTACGCAGTGCAGGGTTTGCAGCCAGGGGTGTTCTCATTGAGTTCCTTACAGCATAACCAGGATCCACCCACGTAAGCAGACGGGTGAAACGTGCTGAGCCGTCCCGGGTTACAGCGGCTGACCTGACTCAGTACCTCGATCCAGCTGTTGGTCTCCACGCAGTTCCCCGCCTGCACGTACAGAGGCTTCTCAGACTGGATTACCTGAAACATCTGCAAAACAAATAGTGGGAAAGGGGGATATTACACATACGCTAAATGTCAAAAGTTTGGAATAATTACATTTTTTAATGTTTTCGAAAAATGTTACCAAGGCTGAATTTATTTGATCAGGAATACAGTAAAAAATGTAAAACTGTGAAATATTATTGCAATATAAAAAAACTGTTTTCCATTTTTAATATATTTTAAAATGTAATTTACTCTTGTGATGCAAAGCTAAATTTTCAGTATCATTACTCCAGTCTTCAGTGTCCTTCAGAAATCATTATAATTGTCATAATATTACTGCTGAATACTTTTTTGATTATTTAGACTAGCTCAGACTGGTACTGGTGGAACCGCTGCGGAGTAGCCCAGTACCTGCGTGATTCATCATAGACATAAACCGAGAGAAGTAGCTCCGGCTACAATGTTCTTCCGCAAGATACACGCAGTTCTGTTTATTAACCGCTAGAGCGCCAAAAGTTACGGACTGCAGCTTTTAAAAAAAATAATTATGTCCTGTGTGCATAATTATTACAAACTTTTGAAAAGTACTTTATATGTTGCATGTTCTACATACTGTAAGTTTGCAGACACTTTTATCCAAAGCAACACACAATTTTCAATTTCATTTGTATGTTTGTCCCCTGGGAATGAAACCCATGACCTTTGCGTTGCTAGCGCCATGCTATACCAGTTGAGATATAGAAACATAGATAAACACCTACCCACACACACACACACACACACACACACACACACACACACACACACACAAAGAGCATAAA